CCCTGTATAATTGCAAATGGGAACATCACGAATTCATCTATTATGAAATGCGGAAGGTTCCATCGCGCTCGATAATTTCGTCACCGAGTTACATCATATAATAGGAATTTTGCGATAACAATAGTTATAAACAATACAGAAATTCATAAATTTTTGCATCTGTGATCATTGCGGAAACCTCTCCGGCAGCAAAATGTAAGGGGTTTCATCAATTTCATCGGTTTCAGGCCAAACATACGCGAAATAGTACGCTTTTTGCGATAAAAAGTGATATAAAGTGGTAAAAAATAAGACAAGGACAAATGTTTTGTTATAAGACCAAATGGCAAATGCTCTTCCAGATGCAAGAAGTTTCAATCTGATTGGTCCATCCGTCTCGGAGTAAGAAGCAAGACAAAATGTTTCTGTTTAAAAAAAAAAACGGGTAAAAAATGACAAATCACAAAATGTTTCTTTTACGCGACCAACTGGAAGAAATATTCGACTAGATGCAAGAGGTTTCGCAAAAAGTCTTGACAGCAGGATCACCGGGGGAACATGCTCTACAGGATGCAACAGGATTCATTCCGATTGGTCAAGCCATATCGGCGTATTAGGCGAATATACATAATCAAAATTACGTTTTTTTGGCAAAAAAAACGGGTAAAAAATGACAAATCGCAAAAAGTCGTGATAATGGGACCACCGGGGGGGGGGGGGGTGCATGCTCTACAAGATGCAACACGATTCATTCCGATTGGTCAAGCCATCTCAGCGTAATCGGTAAACAGACATTTAAAAAATATATATATACGTCGAATAGAGTAACCTCCTTCTTTTCGAAGTCGGTTAAAAATGGCTCTAATAGAGAAATTGAAGAAGATAACTAATAATTCAAATAACTAATAATTTAGTTAATTTAATGCTGAGAAGAGTTGCCATAATTATAAAATCAAAAGGAAATCCCACGAAGGAAGTATTATATACTTGTAAATTAATGCAAATTTCTTTTTTTTTTTTAATGAAATTTTAAAAATTAAACAGTTGTACGAATACGTATTGCTTCAATTATTCTATCGGTTAATTGTTTTTTTCTTGTTAATTTCGCAACTTACATAAATAGCTATTTTTTTTTTGTAATCTATTCTAGAGATTTCCGAGAATATGTAGAATGTCATTGTTTATAAAAAATAAGTTAATAAATTACAATTTTACATAGTTTTTTTGGAAATTGATCGGTGTACGAATACTTTCTACACCCACTCTATATTTACATTAATATGTCTATCACGACTTAATTGACAGGTCTATTTTGTTATTAGAACGAAAATCCTAAAGACATAAAGCAGTACCTACAGCCTAGGGGTTTATAAAATCTGAACACAGCCCTGCGCGCAGGTCGCAGACTTATTGCATCGACGACGCAAGAATCTTCAACAAGAACAACTAGTTCGTATTTACGGAGCCGGCAATGTCAAGGCGGCCGGCTTATTTCCTTATCAATGCGCAGCGCCGTTACGTAATGAGCCCGAAGTGCGGTGCACCGATAGCGCGACTCGCTTTCAGTGTCCCCTATGTGTGCTTGACCTGTGACGTAAAACTTGTAGGAACTAACGCTGACAAGGCCGTTTCAAATATTTGCGAAGCTTCCTTCGCGGATCGCGTGCTTCGTTTCTCAACGAAAACAATTAAGGGGGGAGACACGAGAATGCTGAAAATAAGGTTCTATTCATGAATCTATAAACAAATGGTTCAATGAAATGAAATTATTTGAAATTTTGTACGCGTTTGTATGCATAGTTGAAGTTACAGAAAAAATTTGTTAAGGATCATTCATTTATGCAATAAAAAAAAAGATCTCCTCCCTTGAAAGGCTATTATTGTACGCGAAAGAAAAAAGAATTTTTTACGAATTTTTATTCCACATGATAAATAATTATGGAGTGACAATAATTTTATCCATAATAGTAGACATGTTAAAGTAATAGACAAAGTATTATTATTCATTTTTAATTATTTTTTTTTAATGATAATAGCCACATAAAATTCGTCTCTTTTTTCATGGTTGACACGATAACTCGACACTGAATCATCCGGAAACAAACAATCAAACTGATTATTAAAATATAGTTTTGTATATTTTTAAATGATCAAAATTATATAAAGATTCAGAGGTGTTTGATTCTAGTAGAAAGATTAGCAACAAAACTATATTTTAATAATCTTTTTGATCTTTTGTTTTCGAATGATTGAATGTCAAATTATCGTGTCAACCAATAAAAACGGGGACTAGTTTTGTGTGACTATAACAATGAAAAAAAATATTAAAAATAGCAAAACAAATTCTTTTCATTAGTTTAACATATCTAATATTGTACGTAAAAAGATTGGTATTACAGAATTATTTATTATGTGAAATAAAAATTCTTAAAGAGAATCTTTTTGTCTCTTGCGCGCACGGTAATAACTCCGTAACACGTGCGCTTTTCGACCCCACACGACTACTTGATCGATGACTATTGCGCGGAATACATTATATCCCTTAACAAGTAATTGTTCCTTCTTGCCACTCCGTGACGCATTCTTCCAACCAGACCCGCGCGCTTCTGAAATTACGTTATTTAAATTGTCATTTCGAGTATCGCGTTATCTTATCCTAGGGCTGATATAACAACAGAACTGGTTACGAAAAACAAACAAAGGAACCATAACACTCTGTGATTTACGTTGTTACTTCTGACAAAACTGAATATAAAGACAGGTCCTGTCATCGACTGTCTACTTTTAATACTACTTTCTGCTGTCAACATAGTCATTCAGATTTGCACTATGGGATATAAATAATATATGTCGCAAATTTTTTTAAATTTAATTCGTGTGGATAAGAAGTCTTTGTTTCTTTTTTTTTTTTAAGTTTTACTATCGCGATCGTCTTTGACGAGTGTCATTCCTCTATGCGATTATGCAATGTTTGGCATTCACAATAGTTGATTCGAATAATTGAATATAGAAACATTTTACGGATAATTATACACATAATTCTTCTCTTACGTTACATCAACATTCACTCGTTCCTCTTTGGCGATAACTCACTCGCTGCCAACACGTACATACTTTAATTACTTAAAAACCGGCTTTCAACTGGTCGATACTCTGATGTCTAACGTTCAAGATACACGCCGCCGCGCCGATGAGTTACTTTCAAAGACTGTGACTGTTTTCAAACATTTCCATAATACAAAAGTTATTCTCAGCACAGTGAATATTAAAATCAATGGTATTGAACGATTTAATATCGTAAGAAGCAGTCATAACAAACCATTCAACATTTCTATTTAACGTTTTCATCTATTCGTTCTTTAAAGCACTAAACTAATCAGGAACTGATAAGAAAATAGATAAATTGAAATATAAAATTAAAAATATTGGGTTAAGTGTTGAAATACAAAGTATAAACATAAACATTTGACAATAGTAATGAATGACTTGTTATGACTGCATTAAATATTATTGATTTAAATGCAAACTTTATTTCTAATGATTAAAAAACAAGTAAGTTGGAAAAATATTAATTGGTTCTCTTTTCAAAATTCGAATTCCCGTATCAAAATAAAAATAATGCAAATAATGTCAATAAAAGACAGATCAAAAAAGTGTAGTATGTATAAAGAGGAATATGTATTTTAAGTTTAACTATTAAGAGAATGGATAAAAATAAAAATACAGCCATGGTTAAAATTTGAAAAGGGTCTCGCAAATTCATACTTGTTATTCAGAAAAGGACGAAAGGATTCAATCTATGTAAAAGAAATATGCAGCTCGATTGAAAAAACTAATCCAACCAACAAATGCACATACACCATTGCACTTCTAAAAAAATATATAGTCTTACAAATATAGCACATTTTGAATCATTCATCTTTTCCCTGTAACACATTCATTTGGCCTAGCTTGTACAAATATAAGTATACAAAAACTTTGCAGTGTTATAAATATAAATATGAATGTATGGAATATGGATATACTCAAAGAATTGACAATATTAAGGGACTTTGATCTGAGTTTTGAAACAATCCTTCCAATCATCGTTTCACTAATTTAGTGGTTCATATTAACAGTACACATATGCGAAGGTTGCTGAAAAATATTTTCAAAAATGTAACTGTAGTACCTTGACTTCTTCGTTCACAATAATTGTGCCCCTTTTTTCATTCCCAGTCATGTCCACATTAAAGTTAGTTAATTCCATTAAAACAGGGAAAACTCAGAATCAACATTTGCTTTAATACGACGCCACATTCGTGAATTAATTTTCTCAGCGTTTAAAAGTTTTTGAATTCATAGTTCATTTTACAGCGACCTGGGTGGATATCGGTCAGCGATGCGAAGTCACAAGAAATTAGAGGCAGCACCCAAGACATTACGGGCTACGCGAGCGGCATAGGGAAAGTGAGCCCGATAGTGAATGCAGCATGCGTCCGGACGTGACCCGGCCAATCTTTTAGGAATTTGATTTGACATGGCTGGCCGCAAGATGCGAGTAATTATCAACGGTAAAATGATGTTACGGTAACCAACTGGACCCCGTGTCGTGCAATCACTGGCCGGTATTATGCATCCATACGAGAGAAATGCTATTTGCATTTGAAATGCTTTGACCTTTTCGGATCTGTGCACCGCCGCTGTTTCTGGTTAGCCATATATGCCCGTCGGCGATCTTGACTGGGTTATACCACCGCTGACGATACGTATGGTGGGTCAAATGATTTTAGAATTTTTGCTGCGAAGGCTGTACACTGAATACCACATCAGGAGATAAATTGAAAACGTGCATCCTTTTTATTTGATCGCGAGAGCAGTGAACTGAACAGGGATACTAAGGAAATAATTCGATTCCAACTTTCTTCTTTTAATTAATATTTTAGGCTTTAGTATGGGCGCTTAAAGAGAACATATAAACATAACTCGTGGACATCTTGACACTTTATTTACCGTGAGCCTATTTATAGGCTTTTTAATTGCAGTATTTAGTTATTCGAATTTATTTACTGTATTGGTGGTTGTCTACTTACAATGTTCAGTGTTTGGAAACAGACTTGGCTTTCAATGTACCTAGTAACAGTATGGAGGAATTATTGTTAGGCTAGATTGCCATATGCTACTGTAGAAAATTTTTTTTTGAACTATAGTCTGCTTCTAAATAGCCCGGTAGATAAAGTGTTCTATAGATGTGAAAAGTTACGGGAGCAGTCACCTGATCAGGAATGCCAAAAGAACAAACAGATTTCAACTTTAACCTTCCTATCCATATTTTAGGGGTCAAAGGTGGGCCCTTTATGTGGAATTATGGACGCAAGGTTTATATTATTAATTACATCGTATTAATGGGTATTGTACAATGATAAAAGCGGATACATATGGAAAGAAAAGAGTACTAAATTGTGGTATACTAAATTATGAAACAGATCAAATTTACGCTACGTATATAAATGTAAATGTTCATTCATAAATTTCGTAAAACTAATTCAAAAGAAAAATTCAAACTAGATATTTAAAAATATTTACTTTATATATAATGAAAGTGAATCCATCAAGAATTGTTTCTTTATGTAAAATCTTTCGTTTCATTATTATTAATAATGTCAGGTTACTTGTATGCCGTTGTTGCAAAATAATTATAATAACAAAACTATCGAAGACAATGTCTTGAATGATCTTCTAGTTGTTTCGAATAGTTGTTGTCAATCTATATTTTAAATTGAATCTTGTTATTACATTTAAAATATCGATAGAA